CACTTAAGCACATATACTACTTAAATGAACTTGAGTATGAAGAAATGTCATAAGTACATAAAATGAAAATATGCAGAGCTGTTGACGATATTTCATAAAAGTAAAATGAAGCGTTTTTCATGAAATCTTTGCTAGACAGTTATGAGTGCTATTTGAATGTCTATGACATGGATAGTGAGTGATATTATAAGAATATGATATCACAATGTGCAGATGTTCTTGAAATATACGGTCGATTGAGTGAAAGAAAGGATACAATTCTACGTGAAACCAGGTGATGTGTTTCAAAAAGTATTAAATCTGGTAATGACAAATCTGTCCCCGTAAATCCATCGAAAAAGCTGAAAAGAAACTCGTTTCCCCATGTTAGAAATAAATACAGCTTGAAAGCCACATTGGTACTATTATTGTTCTCTTGGGTTCCTAGTGGAACATGGGGCTTCAACTGCGCGTCTCCACTTGCTTCTGTCTTCTGCTGCCGTAATTTTCACCTGCATCCATCCATGTTAGTCCATACTCTTACAACTCCTCTTCACACGATCTCCTCCATGTCACCCTTGCACTGACGTCCCACTCGCCGCTTCCCTTTCGGCCTGGTTCCACTCGAGCAATGGCCTGATGTGCGCGCGATGTCACCCAGTGGCCTCCTCAGTGAGTGTCCAATCCATCTCCACTTTCTCCTGCATATTTGTTTGTTGGCGATTGGTTCTTGTTTTGTTTGTTCCCACATTTTCTTGCTGGTGATTCTTTCCAGCTCGGCTATCTCATCTTCAGTACGGAGCGAAGACAGTTGTTGATGAAGCTCTGCAACATGTTGTTGGAAATATTCTTTGTGACCCGCCAAGTTTCTGATCCGTATAGAAGAACTGACTGACTTGACGTTTGTATTGAAAACCCGACTGGATTTTGTTGTTTATGCTGAGTGATGAAGATTTCCAGATTGGTTTCAGGTTGATGAATGTGTTTCTTGCTCGCCTTCCCGATTCTCGATTTGACATCCTCGTCCGTTCCTCCTGTAGTTGAGAAAATGCTGTCTAGATAAGTGAATGGAGTAACCTCTTTCAAATATTTCCCCTTGATGGTGATTGGCGCTGGATGTTGCCGCTTTTGTTGTTGTTGTTGTTGTTGGTTGGTTATTTTCATCACCTCCATCTTGTCTATGTTCACCTGGTGTCCTGTCATTGCTGCTTCTTCGACCAGTTTGTCAGTTTTCGCTTGTAAGTCATCGATTTTGTGTGAAATCAAACATAAACCATCCACGCTCGAAATCCAGGTCTTCTAGGTTCTTCACGTCGGTCCAGGATATCCCTGTCTGCTCGTTTCCCTCTGTCTGACACATAATCCAGTTCACCACAATTAGGAATGTCATTGGTGATAGGTAATAATGACCCTTGTGTGACTCCTGCGTTTACTCCAAACGCCTCTCTGAGTTTTCCGTTGTGGATCACTTGACATGTGCCGTTGTCGCACAGCTGTTGAATAAGGTTGATGAATATTTGGGGTATGTCGTAGTACTCGAGTAGTTTCCAAATTACTTCACGGTTAACGCTGTCTGAGAAGGCCTTCTCGAAGTCTTTAAAGTTCAGGTAGGGGTTTGATTGCCATTAAATGCTTTGTTCGATGATGTTGCGAAAACCACATAACTGCTATTATTGTTCCTTCTGGTACATTTCGAGAGAGTTTAGGAATATATTCTAATGGACTTTGGCCGTGCATTCGCAAGGCGTGATCAGCTGAGAACACTTACATGAGGACTAGAAAAAGATTCGCTAGTATTTCACTAACAAATTTTCGCGTAGGGGTGACAGGTCATTTTAAGTCTCAAATATATTTCGCTGACCAGTGTCTATAAGCATGATTGATACTTAGGTTCACAGCTTCCTATTGATTGCCTCCAGTCACCGAAACTATGAAAATCTAGATATGGTGACAAATTTTTCAATTCTGATATTATGATTACTTTTAGTATAACTGTGAATAATATCTTACTAAGTGATAAGAGAAATAAACATTAAAGCATGTGGTAAAGCAGTGGTTTAAGTAGAAGCGTCGGTGGTATAGCGGTTAGGACGCTCGCCGACCATGCATATGGTCCGGGTTCGATCCCCGGCCGGCGCACTCCTTTACCACACTGAGCCAGAAATAATCCTGGTAAAGAGGAAAGGTTGGGCATGAGGCTAGCAACCCCATCCTGTAAAAATTAAACACTGCTACAGAAACTTCAAGCCACTAGCTTGGAGCCCTATGTTCCACTGGGAACGTGAAGGAAAAATTATTATTATATTATTATTAAGTAGAATCCCGGCGGTGACCGAATTTCCCATACAATATTCCAACTATCACATATAAATGTAATTGACAACTTTTCTTAGCTACTGAAATCTTTAGCTAGATTTTATCTCACCTACTTTAAGTGGAAGAAATTGAATAAGGTCGATTTCATTGTCAATCTTGAAAATATTAAACGAAGACAGTTGATATATTACTCAAACAATCCACATATATCTTCGAAATAATTCCCTTCAAATCTACAGTTCATTCGTTAAGACTACTCTGTAATTGACAAAGAAAAAGACACCTGATTGGTAGTGGCCAGTATTAAAGTCGAAGACATGCACTTTTCCTACTTAGAAGCTGTCAGACGCATGAGCCTACATCTCTGTCAGACATGCTGTTCCCACTGATAATCATCCCAAGCAACTACCACACCAAACAACAGAGCATTATCAACTAGTTAATTTTGGCGAGAATACACCTCTTTGTGCAACACATATCAGTTATCCACTTTCTCAAACTCTTGGATTTCCGTAGATTGATTTCTCTTAGTTGGAGTAAACATTCCATGTTGACATCATATCATCATCAGAGAGCTCTTATTAGAAGCCACTGTGCTGACGCACACCAAACATTGCAGTCAAGCGAAATCCAATAACTACAAACACAAAATTTTCCAAATGCATTGAGGTCGTTTATATCATGGACACTGCAGAGAACGCGTATTCTGTCCAACTATCTCAGTCAAATTTTAACATTATGAAAATATCACGTCTTGAAGTCTAGACATCTGTGCCATCAACTGTCAACTCAACACCACATGAATTATTCTTCATTTGAGAAGAATGACTGTTCACTTAAACCAGAATTTACAACTTTCAACACTGTCTAAATATCTACCAAATAGCAATAGATGTTATTTTTATGACAGATAATATTAAATATTATGAGTTTACCATCACACGCTTCATTCATCACATTCAAGAGCTCAATATTTGCAGTACTCAATATTTGGCATAAAAATATTAAATTAATTAAAGGTTAAACTGCACCGTCATTGTTGACTAAGTTCATCAATCAGATCCAAAGTAGCTTCACAGTTTCAATTCCTTTTAAGAGAAAATTAAAACACAAACAACAACAAACACAAATTCAGGTAGAAGTTAATTAACTACTTCAGTTCACCTAACAAACAGTAAGTGAAACTGATTATTAGAAAAGAAAATTAAATAAAGTTCTAGTGTATAGCTTGTATAAGCTACACAGATTAAGAAAAAATAATTTTAGTGAAGTAACCTCATTTGTTTTACTTCACATACTTTAGATATTTTGGTATAAACTAGAGAGAAATATAAATATTTTATAAAGTTAGAACCAACGGTTAATTTGCACGCCCACATAATTTATCGTTCACAACTTGGACACTAAAGGCTGCAACAGATATCGATAAAATATGTTCATAATATTCTTTTATTCAATTCACACTTCAAATGGAGTGTTCCGCTTCAAGCTTGAGCTTTGAGCTGTCAGTGTTGATGTTGCTTTATGTCTGTGGGATTGGATTGTTCGCCTCATGTGCAATCTTCTATGTTTGCCTGACTCACTGAAGGCCAGTTGGCATCCAGGATCGTCTCAGTCTGCAATCGAAACCAGACCAAGTGCATAGTAGCCCGACGCTCTACTATTGTCCACTGGTGTGCACTGTTTGTAGGTGGTGTGTTGGTATTTTAAGATGAGTGGAATTTCCCGGTTAATTAATAATCACCAGACAGATTTTCAAATGAGAGAGAGAGACTTTACGCTATTCTAACTGGGCTTGATGATGCAAATGTTAAATTCACCTCAATTTTTCTCCCCTCACTATGAGTTTATTCGATGTTACATAATTGAAGTATCTCTAAATATTCCTTATTCATAATACTAGTTAAGTAAGTTATGGTGAAGAGAATTGAAAGGCGAGAATAAATAATTAGCTCCCAGTCAGAACACGATGGAAGTACCATGTGAATTTATGACGAACAAGGCATTTTACAGTTTCACCGCTATCTTCTACTCATGAATAAGGCTACTACGAAGCAAACACCTACTGTGAAATACCTCTGTCAATTATTCATTTGATATTTGTATTCATAAAATTATTTTTTCATGTTGATGTAACCACATTTCAGTGACTTTCGTCTTTCCACTCCAAGACAAATCCTATACCTGGTATTAATCACGAAGATATGCTTTATGAGCAATAATTTATGCTCGAAACGGTATCCAATTGTTAACGCTGGATCACTCTATGATATTTAAAATAAACTCATCTAATATGCAACCACATTCTATATCTGTGCCCAAGTTCTCCAATTATATTAATCAGGAAGAAACTTGAATAATGTCGTCCTCGATTGCTAAACATATAACAACAAATTACCAGAAGTTATTCATTTTCAAGGTTGAATTACCTATAGAAACGCTTAAGTTTTACCTGTTTCGAAATCTGAACTACATATCTAGCAGAGGACTGCAGTTAAATGTAAGATATATTTAAGGGTACTTGCATGATCTCATTTCTAAATGAACAAAGGTAGGGAGAGAAAAAAAATCTGTAACGTTTTACTTCCAATTCAAGAGATTTCTGACATTGTTTGGTCGACAAAATCTCAGCATTCTGATTTGCCCAACTGAAACTTGTAAAACTATATAATCTCTATTCAATTGGTTATACATGAACACGTCTACACTATTTCAGATTAACATCAAAATGCCTTCACGTCGCTATAAAGACGACTGTATAATTGTAAGATTCCATTATTCCCCCTATTCTCATCTTCTCCCCACAATGTTATCTACAGTTCGACGATGATTATCCAGGATATTTCGCCAACAACTACATGCTACCAGCACGCTATGAAAAGTACATCGAAAGCATTATCGTACCACACGGAATGGTTTTGGATCGTCTCAATAAAATGGCTTCTGATATTCTCGACGCTTATGAATGCATGAACACACGCTCAATTCATATCATATGCATCTTGAAGGGTGGTTTCAAATTCGCCTCTGATCTATTCGAAACATTGCAAACATTTATCACATCGAGGAAGAAAGATATCAATGTGTATATTGACTTCATCTCAGCTAGTACTTATGTTGTAAGTTGTTTCCACATACACATTGGTTGATTCAACTTACTTTCTCATGTAGAATGATTCTGTTGGTGATGGGACAAAATTAAATGCCTGTACAGATATGGAGAAATTTCGAAATAAGGTGAGTTGATTGATTCAGTAAATAGAGCTTTTCCACGAAATACACTATTATCCCTCTTTCCCCTTTTTTCTCCTTCGTGTGCATAGAATGTTCTCATTGTCGAGGATCTCGTTGATACGGGAACAAGTCTTACTAAAATCGAAGAATTTGTCCGTCAATATAATCCACTCTCGTTACACACAGCTTGGTATGTTGAAATAATTTGTTGTATTGTTGTGTTCGCTTCTGTTTATTCCACTGTTGTTTGTTTTTCAATGAATGTTTTGGTAGTGAATATTGATTGATTGTTTAGGGAGAAGTGAAGCAAATTCAGTAGTCGACAAGTGATTGGTTGTTTCACTCACTTTGTGGTCGATCGATAAATCTAAAGACAGCAAACTTTCTGAATTAGATGTTAGACTGATTTTTATGACTACAGTGATTATTATAATAAGTATTATTATTGTAAAATTATTGAGGCACATGATTAGAAATCTCGATCAACTTATGCTTAAGAGGTGAACGGCAATCACCAGTTCATACTAGCGATTAGGTTTAATAAATGGAATAATTCTAACTTGTCATCATTATTGATATTCATCCTCACATCGTCGGTTTATCATGTAGAGAAAGACATACAATACATGCAGGAGATTGATATTTGTCCCCTTCAACTTAAATTTGGCTCTATATGACCACAGGTAAGCAGCAGTACATCTACTCATGTGGTTCTCAAAGACGCCTCACTTTCATCGTAGGTAATCATTAGCAACCAGTCACTCGATGTCGATGACATTTTCAGTGAGAACTGATTGAACAGAGTAACTATCATATCAGCTCTTGTCTTCGAGGTATTACGACGATTGGAATTGGTCACAAGTAGGCATTTTGCAGTTGAAAACAAGACAATCACCACAAACAGGGAGGTCAACTTAACTTCAGAGCATTTATTGTTCTCGTAGCAAATAATACACTCACGACCCTCTACACATTTTTGATTTCATGGATGACATTACCCATTATGCAGATGTACCACTCACTATTTCTTCTATAGCAGTTATCACAGTTCTTCGTTATCTTATCTTCCAAAACCAATTTGATTTCCAAGAGAGTCTCATGTTCATCTAAGGCATTCAATGTCCGCCAGTCAGTTGCAAAACAAACTGGTTCAATAGAATAGTTATTAAAACAGCTGCCATCTTTGATAGACACCCAACGATGTTCACTGCTCCTGAGGAAGAATTTCACACTCATAGACGCGGGTTTCATAGTTACAAAGGATGTCTTCCTAGCACAGAAGGAATTGTCTCTCCATCACTGGATACTTCACAGGTGTTATATTGTTTGGTTTAAATTTTCATTTTTGAAGAGGTACACCATTTCCTATTTCGCTTTGAGTATTTACGAAGATTTCCGTGTGTTTCCTTTGCATTGTAACAGTCTGTTACTGAAAAGAAGACCTGACTGTGCTGGATACATAGCAGACTGTATATGAATATCATTCTGATTGGGGCACAAATCTCAAAATTTTACGGACGCGTTAAAATACACAAACCAGGAGTACCGTTAAGACCTACACTCTCAATGATAAACTCACCATACGACAAATTAGCACAGTGGCTTTCTGAATTTTGCATCCCTTTCGAAAACGTTTCGGAACGTATGCAGTTTCTGATTCATTTCAGTTTGTCAAGTAAATTAAAGATTTCAATGTATCTGATAAACATCTGGTTTCTTCCGACTTCACCTCCCTCTTCACAAATGTGCCAGTTGTTGAGACTATTGTCTTCAAATATAGAGAAGCTGAAGCCATACCCATTCCAATATTAGAATTGTGTAAATTGTTACTTTTATGTAATAAAAAGGTCCAATTCCAATTCGACGGGCGTCTATTCCATCACGTTGATGGTGTCGCGATGGTAAGCTTCTTGAGACCACTTTATGCAGACTTATTCTTGTCACGCCTAGAAACTGGTACATTGCAGCAGCATATACAAGCAATAGATGTATACCCAAGATATGTTGATGACATTTTTATTATCTGTGTAAGCAGATCAAAAGCTGAAGAAATGTTGATAAAACTCAATTCATGCCATCCGAATCTCAATTTCACAGTAGAACATGAGGATACCGACACTACTAAATTCCTAGACGTTCTTCTAGCGAAAACGAATGATGGCACAATCGAAAGATCTATATTTAGAAAGTCTTCATGGACAAGACAGTACATGCATTTCAAGAGCTTCGTTGCAATTCAATATAAGAAGAAATTAGTCAGAACACTGTTCAATAGAGCACGGAAAATTTGTTCTCACAGTACTATTGAGCATGAAATGAAAGCTCTGAAGGATATTTTATCTGAGGATGGATATCCTGAGAAGTTCATTAATAAATATTCTAAGGAAATTAGCCCCTGCAAAACAATCCAGACAGTTCCGAAGAAATCTGTCTACATTAGTTTTCCATTCAAAGGAGATGATGTACAGGAAGTAGTCAAACGAAGACTCGATAAAGCTAACAAGAGAACTTATTATGCTGCAAAACTTGTTTTCCTTAACACCACCAAGCGAGTAGTTTAACAGTCTAGGAAAGACCAGTCGCCAATCCTGGACACTTCAAACTGCGTATATCAATTTGAGTGTGTTTGTGGAAGCAAACATATAGGTAGTGCAGAAAGGCGATTGTCTACTCGCATGATGGAGCATTTGCCAAAATGGTTGAAAACAGCTGAGTGCAAAGTGCCAAAATCCTCAATAACAAAACATCTTGTGGATTACGGACATGACATCGACGCTGTCAAGTCATTCACTATTGTCAGCAGACAAAGAAACAAGAAGATGCTTGCAGTTTCAGAGGCTTGTGCAATTCGAATTTTTAAACCACGTCTCTGTGTACAAAAGGAGATGGTCGTGACTCCGAATCTACCATGGTAATATGTTTTACTTATTATTCTACCTCTTATTATTATTGATTCATTTAAAACTATCCTTTATCAGTAGCATTATCTTAACTCATTTCAACACTATTATTATTGTTATTATAACTATTACTATTGATATTAGTCTGTTTGCAATTCTCGTTATATTCCCTAATGTTTAATTGTTTATCTAAGTGAAGTAATTGAAGCGTAATGCAATTTATCTTAATTTTGATCTCTCATACTCTCTCTCCCCTTATCTATTTGAACATGACCTGGAAAACATTCGCACGTGTCTTTCTGCATGATTAATTCAACGTAGTTTGTTTACTTATCAGTCTTATATCTCCCAATGTAATTTCAAAAGTATATATATCCGTGTATGTAGAGTATTCAGCTGACGGGTTCTACCGAAATTTGATGAATCCATTAAATCCTGCTTTGGTTACAGGATTTCATCATGAGCTGACATCGGTTAGAGAACCATTGTACAACCTGGGAGTGCTGGACAGCTGTTTCGTTATAGTTTGAGACTCTTCATCAGTACGCACCCACCGGGGTTTTAACAAATGTCAGCTCATTATGAAATCCTGTCACCAATCAGCCAAATCCCTACAAACTAATACTTGAATATCAATGAGATTCACATTGGCGAATGGCCCTATTCAGGTAGGTAGTTACCTGGGGTCCCAGTGGGATGTCGTGACCAGTAGGGTGCAGCAGGCCGGGTGTGAGGACAAATACTCGACGAAGACATTGGCTAGGGATCACGCTATTTCATGAATTGGCAGAAGTTAGAATTCATGGGCTGGCCATTGGATCGGCTCCCAGTGGTTTAATAGTCTGCGGGCTAGCTCGTCTTGTAACCAGAAGGTCTTGGGTTTAAACCCTGAGGTTGCGTACTGATGAAGAGTCTCAAGCTGGGACGAAACAGCTGTCCAGGACTCCCAGGTTTTTCAATGGTTCTCTAACCAATTTCAACTCATGATGAAATCCTGTAACCAATCAACCAAATTCCTACAAACCGATACTTGAAAATCCTGCTTTATTAACCTTTATTGCTTGTTTTAAATTCGTATCATGAAATAAATGTTTTCAATATGTGTAAAACTTGGGCACTGTGGTAGTAAATAATACCATATTAGTTTTTTATTAGGTTTATCACACAGGGAAATATTATTATTTACTGGACGGCGTTTCGAATAAAATTTACTGTTCTTAATCATATCAATTGTAATCACATGACTTTGAAACTTGAGTTTTATAGTTTTCTTTGTTTTCTCCTATTTGTCTTAGGGGTAGTAGGATTTTCCAGATATCAGGAACAGGTGTTGAATCATTCCTATTACATGTATTTGCAGTTGACTCGATAAACAAGACTTCTGTTATCGATCTCTCCCTCCACCCTGTGACATTAGATTTTAAAACTGTCATCCTATCCCATCCTATTGTATGGTTGTGTGTGATTGCATGTAATGAGTGCTATAGCTGAACTATTCTCTGGATTTCTTATCTTATTCGGGTCAACCCATTTACATTTTGCTAGGTTTTTATGTTCAGCTAGTCTTACTGCCCCTGTTCTACTAGTTCGACTTATGTATTTGACCCGACAATCATTACAGGCAGTGTATTTGGTAAACCAAATTGTTTTGTTTTAAAGGTTCCACAGCATCCTTTAACCGACAAAGCTGTTTTTCTAATTGAGTTCATGGGTTTGAATGTCACTTTTATTCCTGCCTTGTTAAGAATTCTGAGTAAGGTCTCCGAGGTTCATTCCTTGTATGGAATTACTACTGATGATTTAGATTCCTGATTGTTGTTGTTTTTTTAACTAAGTATAAATATGAATTTGCGAAAATGGTGTGATTTTGGCTGATTACTTAGAATGATCTAAGTTCAACACTTTTCACAACTCGATTTGTCAATTTTACATTTCAATGAATCAGACTAAATAATGAATGAGTGGAGAGGCCATGATGATGGCGTAATATAATATCAGCTTATATCATAGTTCTTACAGGGGAATACTGATATTATCTCGATTAAACGAAAGTACGGAGTTATGGATGATCATTTACTAGCTTGTTCATTGTAGCGCATTTCAAGCTTGACAGATTAATACTTCCATAGATACTTCTCATTCACCACTAAATTCATAATTCAAGTGTTGGTTTGCAGGGATTTGATTGGTTTCAGGATTTCATCATGAGCTGACATTGGTTAGAGAACCATTGGAAGACCTGGGAGTACTGGACAGCTGTTTCATAATTATCTGATTAAATCAGGTTGGTGGTCAAAAAGTATATGAAACGCAGTCAATTAGTTTGTGAAAATCTGACCACTTTCATGATAACTTTCATTACGAGTTGACCACGAGTTGGATGAATCACTGAAAACCTAGTGAAGACATTCGAACTATAATGAAATACTTTTCAGTGCTTCTTCTTACTGAAGCAGATTCTTGGAAATATTCACCACGTAACCGACTGAAATCTCCTCCAGTTATAAGTACCATCTGATTATGAATGAGACAGAAAATTAATTTTCACAAAGTAATACCAAAATCTTGAGTTCTTTTCCTTTTCTTACTTATAACACATTCAATCTAAAACAATAACAGAACCACTATACCAATAAAAGCGCCTTACTTACACTTATAACCATGAAATCGGTAAATGATAGCCAAGATAAAGCTGTCAGGTTTAAGATACTTAAATACTGTAAACGCGAATGAAATTTTCTTGAATCAGAGCGTGTGTAATCCAGTCAGTTATTTCCTGATGCTCATCACGAGGGCAGAATTAAGATAATGGATATAAATATTACTACTCACATGTCTGCATTATTGTTAATTCGCAAATTCAACCAATGTATCGGTAACTGGCCCAACTTCATCGACTTTGAGATGGCTTTGAATAGCGTTGACTGTGAAGTAATTTAAACATTGCTTTCGAAACTATGGAATGCATCGCAGTAAACCTTAAATAACCTAACTCAGAAGTTATATGACAATACTACATGTCAAGTGATCCACAACGAAAAACTCATTAAAGCCTTTGAAGTCAAGATAGAAGAAAGACAAGGCTGTCTCCTATCACCAATGACATATCTGACTGTGATGGACTGGAAAGTGCGATAGACTGTGGTGTGAAAGAAGAGAGACAAACGTTGGACTGAGAGAAATACTACTGAAAGTTTTGACTTAGCGTTTTATAAATAATGTCACACAAACTCGAAGATATACATATGAGAACCGACAAGTTAGCAGAAGAAATAATGAAGAAAGGTCTTCACATGAACAATAAGACAGAAGCAATCAAGAGACGTAACCAAAACAAAATGTATCAATCACAATCAACAGGAGAAATTCAAAAAGGATGGGTTTCTTGATTTATCTGAGGAACTTTGCGCAGTCAGAACCGATGAGGATATCAAGGGTAGGATCTCAAAAGCACGATAAACATTCATTATGCTGAATTCACTGTGGAAATCTGCTGCATTCAGAGTAAGGAACAAGATTTAGATTTTCACTTCCAGTGAGAAACCAGTCATTCTATATGTTTCAAAAACTTGGAGTACGGCAGTTATGAATTCAGTTTCAATAGTATTCGGATAGCAAGACAAAAATTGAAAGCAATAAGGAACTCTGACAATCAACTAAACGGAAACTCACTGCAAAACGCATATGTCGAAAAAATGGAGATAGAAGAGATATACTATGAAGACCGTTGAATGACAAATCGATAAGCGCATTCTGATGGGAATATGAACAGTGAAGGATACCCTGTTGTTCACTTCTAAAGCATCGGTTCACATACATTTATATATCCCTTATACATGCATAAAGCATACAAGTACTAGGGTGAATTCAACTTCAGAAACCTCAATAATTCCTACCTGAGTGATATGCGTTTCCTAACGTCTCCTACTGAATTTACTCAGATTCGACTAAATCAAGTCTTTTGTTGCAGAAAAAACTAGACCTCACCACCTCCATCAAAGTTTCAGTCCTCCATCTTCAACTACATAACCTACTACTTCAGGAGACATAAGTTGTTATGACTTCGACCATTATTCAGTAATGATCCTACACGCCGTATGGATGATCTTCAATCACTACTGTCTGAACTGACACGGTAACACAGAACGCAAAGCAAGAAGAGTGAAGGCATTCGTTTGAAACACTTTTTCTTGAAATAAACAAAATATAACAAAATAGTCTTCTACATGACTGGTGATTGACCAAGCAGGATAGCGGAATTGGATGTATTTATAGATGTTTACAAGTGGTTGTATAGAAGACAGTGGTGACTAATTGCACCTGGTCGACAATTACTGTTTACTCGGTTGACGAATTATCGTAACTGTGGATGTGGGTTTAGCGAATCTAATTTTCCCCTGACTATTCACTGAACAGACATGCTGAAAATGGAAGAGGAAGTGTGATGAAGATTACAAAAGTATGCGCAACATAATGAATGAGACATTCAATGCATTTTATGAGTTGGTGTCTGTAAACGTTTCTGTAAGTGTGTTTGAACGCGATTGGAAGTCAAGAGAGTGCAGTGTTGAGTATTCCAGGGCAAGAATCAGCGTACTTTGTGGAATGTGATGAGTGTAGAAAGGTGTCCGAATCACCGTTATCATGAAGGCTATGTGGAGTTCTACCGGTTGATACACAACGGGATATTTGATGACTATCACTTTTATGAGTGCACAGATAACTGAATTCAGTAAACTCTTTCGGTTTGATAATAACCTTGTGTGCGTGTAACCTTATCCTTATGCTCACTGGGAATTTGTAGGTTACTTGTGATTACTGTTATTATCATTATGATTCAATCTCAGTGCACTAACTGCATGCTCACCCCCTTCCTGTCAATAGAGAGCCTAAACGTTTTCCGACTTCAACAACGATGTTGAAGGATTTCAGATTAGAACAGTACAGATTTCCAATACTTCTTTGCCATCAGTAACTCTAGGTGGATCTGTTCTGTGGTTGGATCTGGCATGATAAACTTGTATAAATTTATAATCACACTTACTGGTATATCACGGAAGTAATCGTTGTAGTCAATACCATATCCAACAATGAATCGGTTGGGTACTTCAAAGCCGACATCTGCAGAATGTGAGAGATGTTTGGAAAGGGTAATTAGCATAAGGAATTGTTGTTTACAGGAGATAAATAAATAGCTTGTGATTAGCGTTGAAAGCATGGTGAGGAATTAGACTGAAGTTGTCATCCCTGTGGTGTCTCAGTGCACATTAGCAAATAAAACAATTGTTGGTATCGTGGGATATTCGGGTAGACAGAGTGCTTGAAGGTGGTTAACAGTTGAAACATATTATGAGGATGGGTAACTCGTGTAACAGTTGCTCTACACAGCACTTCATCAGATGTTTGTAATCCTGTAGTCTGAAACCTTCAAATGTTTTCGAAATCTATCCTAATGAACACGTAGTTCATATCTGATCAAGATGTTTGTGGATAATTATAGTGGTCAGAGATATGCGTGTGATGTCTTTCAGAACATAAAGCATAACTATTTCAGCGAGTTTAAAATGCTGATATTTTGGTAAACAACAACTTGGCACCAGTTCATAATCAAGCTGTTCAGTGTGCATTGATGATGGTGTGAAGAACAGATGGATGTTAAAGTCAGTGAGTGAAATATATATATATGAACAAATGGAGAAGTATGACTTACAGTCTGGTATGTATCCAGCACAGTCAGGTCTTCTTTTCAGTAACAGACTGTTACAATGCAAAGGAAACACACGGAAATCTTCGTAAATGCTCAAAGCGAAATAGGAAATGGTGTACCTCTTCAAAAATGAAAATTTAAACCAAACAATATAACACCTGTGAAGTATCCAGTGATGGAGAGACAATTCCTTCTGTGCTAGGAAGACATCCTTTGTAACTATGAAACCCGCGTCTATGAGTGTGAAATTCTTCCTCAGGAGCAGTGAACATCGTTGGGTGTCTATCAAAGATGGCAGCTGTTTTAATAACTATTCTATTGAACCAGTTTGTTTTGCAACTGACTGGCGGACATTGAAGCCTTAGATGAACATGAGACTCTCTTGGAAATCAAATTGGTTTTGGAAGATAAGATAACGAAGAACTGTGATAACTGCTATAGAAGAAATAGTGAGTGGTACATCTGCATAATGGGTAATGTCATCCATGAAATCAAAAATGTGTAGAGGGTCGTGAGTGTATTATTTGCTACGAGAACAATAAATGCTCTGAAGTTAAGTTGACTTCCCTGTTTGTGGTGATTGTCTTGTTTTCAACTGCAAAATGCCTACTTGTGACCAATTCCAATCGTCGTAATACGTCGAAGACAAGAGCTGATATGATAGTTACTCTGTTCAATCAGTTCTCACTGAAAATGTCATCGACATCGAGTGACTGGTTGCTAATGATTACCTACGATGAAAGTGAGGCGTCTTTGAGAACCACATGAGTAGATGTACTGCTGCTTACCTGTGGTCATATAGAGCCAAATTTAAGTTGAAGGGGACAAATATCAATCTCCTGCATGTATTGTATGTCTTTCTCTACATGATAAACCGACGATGTGAGGATGAATATCAATAATGATGACAAGATAGAATTATTCCATTTATTAAACCTAATCGCTAGTATGAACTGGTGATTGCCGTTCACCTCTTAAGCATAAGTTGATCGAGATTTCTAATCATGTGCCTCAATAATTTTACAATAATAATACTTATTATAATAATCACTGTAGTCATAAAAATCAGTCTAACATCTAATTCAGAAAGTTTGCTGTCTTTAGCTTTATCGATCGACCACAAAGTGAGTGAAACAACCAATCAGTTGTCGACTACTGAATTTGCTTCACTTCTCCCTAAACAATCAATCAATATTCACTACCAAAACATTCATTGAAAAACAAACAACAGTGGAATAAACAGAAGCGAACACAACAATACAACAAATTATTCCAACATACCAAGCTGTGTGTAACGAGAGTGGATTATATTGACGGACAAATTCTTCGATTTTAGTAAGACTTGTTCCCGTATCAACGAGATCCTCGACAATGAGAACATTCTATGCACACGAAGGAGAAAAAAGGGGAAAGAAGGATAATAGTGTATTTCGTGGAAAAGCTCTATTTACTGAATCAATCAACTCACCTTATTTCGAAATTTCGCCATATCTGTACAGGCATTTAATTTTGTCCCATCACCAACAGAATCATTCTACATGAGAAAGTAAGTTGAATCAACCAATGTGTATGTGGAAACAACTTACAACATAAGTACTAGCTGAGATGAAGTCAATATACACATTGATATCTTTCTTCCTCGATGTGATAAATGTTTGCAATGTTTCGAATAGATCAGAGGCGAATTTGAAACCACCCTTCAAGATGCATATGATATGAATTGAGCGTGTGTTCATGCATTCATAAGCGTCGAGAATATCAGAAGCCATTTTATTGAGACGATCCAAAACCATTCCGTGTGGTACGATAATGCTTTCGATGTACTTTTCATAGCGTGCTGGTAGCATGTAGTTGTTGGCGAAATATCCTGGATAATCATCGTCGAACTGTAGATAACATTGTGGGGAGAAGATGAGAATAGGGGGAATAATGGAATCTTACAATTATACAGTCGTCTTTATAGCGACGTGAAGGCATTTTGGTGTTAATCTGAAATAGTGTAAACGTGTTCATGTATAACCAATTGAATAGAGATTATATAGTTTTACAAGTTTCAGCTGGGCAAATCAGAATGCTGAGATTTTGTTGACCAATGATATTTTGCATGTTAAATTATTGATATGTTTAATGTCTGCTTAATTTCTTTTTCCGATTTCAATTGGTCCTTTATTCGTGTGCATTTGAGATATATCTCTTTAGGCGATTTATTTTTGTTGATGGTGTTATTATCTTCAGCGCCGTTCCTCGATATCGTCATAATTTTCTCTTGGCTTACACGCACACTTATTCCGGTTTTATCACGTATTTCATTTACGTATATTTCTTGGTGTAATCTGATCAGATTGAGTGGGATATGTGATGATATGTGTAACGTAGTCCTTCAAAATTTTTCTTATGGCAAATAGAGGAATATTGTTTTCACACTTTCTTATTAGCACAGGATCCCTCTAATTACTTTCATTTTATGAATTAGTGTTTTGTATTTTATACAATATACTGTGCATATTAGATATGATGGAGGAGATCTGTAGCTCAGGTGGATGATTTTGATGTAGTTGCGGACTCTGAGCTGGATGGGTTTTTTGCCGACTAGGGCAGTGAAAGCTTCGCAAGTAAACCATCCAGCTCAGGTAACACAACTAAATAAAAATCTAAACATATTATTTGACACTCAAATCGAGTGATTATTTCATATCTCATGGTTTGGTGAGCATAACTGATTTCTGAATTTTATTCATATTCAGCTAAATTTAAGCAATTTTTGTTAGCTCCTATCAAACAAATTACCAGTTTTAATTTATCCTGAAGTTTTCTATCGACAATTTATTTTACCCTCCACATTTTTGTTTCCTGGTTTACTTCTGCTAGAATAGACCGTATCGCTTTTGTGAAAATGTCCTCACAGTATTCTTCTGTTGAACTAGTGGTAGGGAAATCGCTTATGTTGGTGTCATTGTTACATCCGTTTCATTAAGTCTTAAGCTGGATATTTCTCTAGGTCGCATGTTGACGTCTTGGGATATACAAACGATTCCTTTTGTAGCCACTCACCGATCTTACGATTGCTGTTTTAACAAAATCTACAGATCTTTCTACCTGGCTGTGGAAGTTGCGATGGTAAGATGGAGTCCGCATACGCTGTGCACTAATTCGCCTCTAAATTTCTTGAAATCCCTGGGAAGTGAATCTAATTCTGCTGTCAGATAATATAGTCTCTGCAGTACTATGGTATGCAACAATTTCAGTGAGGCTGACATAGCTCCGTCACTGATATGACACAACCTTGGTGAACTTCTAAAATGCTTACATCGAAATCAGATAACATACAACATTTACGTGACCAACGAAGTTTGTTTGTAATTTTAGTTATGCTTCTTGTCTGTCTCTCAGAAAATTTTCAGGCACAGCTTGGTAATGCATGATATCTGATGACAGATTCTGTTATGTTGGCATAAATGAATGCTCGCTGTGAACTTCTTGCATTTTACTGCAGGCTGTCCACTAATTCAAGGCATCCACTATCATCACTCATCCACTTAATCTTAGACAGGTATCAGCGACGCTGAAACAATGGTGACACAGGAATAACTGGTTGAAATCTTAATTTTTTATGGATTCTGGTCAAGAACTTCTGACCAGCCTCAAAGGGATCTGTAAAGTATCATCTGTTTTCATGACCTACCTATTTTTACTCTGTTGCATTAGGAATCTACTGGTTGGTGCACGTTTATGAACTCTAAGCGTAGTTTTTAATCTCTTTTGACGCAACAACCGTTCTGAGTTTGATGAGGAGTAATCACTTACTAAACTTGGTTGAAATTCTCCATCCAAGGATAACATATGCTAAAGTGGTGCTCTGCTCTATTTTTTGTCGTTTGTTTGCTAAGTCAACTGGTCTACATATGTTTGATCAAAATATAGAAGGCAGAGGCTTGTAATCTGTTATTAAAGTAAATATTCGATGATATGGTTATCTGTAGAAGCTTTGAACTGTGTAAACTAGCGTAAAAGTGCCTTTCTCCATCTAAATGTATATTATTTTTTGTTGCAGAAAGTGGACGTCAGATATGGGTAATGTCCCGTCTGGAATTCACGCAGTAGTACAGCAGTGACTCAATGAAATGCATAACAATTAGTTTAAGCCACGCAAAAAGGTGTAGACTTCCAGCTTGGAGTCCTCGAGACGGTAAAAGCCAATGGCTGGAGACACTTGGTGATATGGCTGAAAATCGTTCTCATTGGCGGAAGTGCATAAACTCCTTGTGACTTATAATGAAACTATAATGTTCTTCGTTATTACTGCACCTTTTGTCACGTATCCCTGTCTACTGTTTCTATTTTGCATTTCTTCTACTTTTTTCTCTTGCTTTGTGTTCTACATGGAGTGTCGCGACTTGAACTGCTGCACGTTTGTGCAAAGTTCCATGTTAAAAACAGACAGACAGACGGCATCGGCTCTTGTGGCTGAAGAGTTCGCTGCAGTTACGTAGCTAGTGATGATTTTTTCTGCATTCTCAATGTATAAGCACCTTATTTCCCTCTATAGATTCTTCGGCACTATCTATATATCACATTCAATGTCTATCTGCAGACATTTTGGCTGTGTGCTAATCGTTGCGTCAGTGGATTTACGTGTCGTTGGTGTACCAATGTCGTAGACAGTAGTAATATCAACTATCAGCTATCGTTGTGACCAGTGACATGATATTGTCGGTGTTTATTATCTTTGAATGGAGTAACTTCACATAGGACCAAGCGTCTCAGTACTAGCATGTTATAGGCGGTTTATGCTGCAAACGATATGGTGAGTCTGATGTCAACGGTGCTGCGTGCAACACATGTACTTCTTCTCCAGTCATACAGACAGACAGACTGGACAAAGATGACATCTGTGTAAAGGTTAATTAACCGCTAGTTTTGTTCCTAACTATCCTACAGATACATCTGTAGATCCTGTAGTAATTAGTCTGTTCAACAACAGGATTTGTATATCAGCTCACTTCAAAAGTGACAAGCCACAAATGAAAACTAGTAATAATTAACTGATCTCCTGCCAGTGACTTCAAATTGAATCATTCATATACCAAGCTACATATGAATATCACTATTTTGGTTCAGCACTAGTTTTTTTTGATGGCTTTATATGTTGAGTTATGATCTATGATCAGCTTGCTTTAGCTGTACCCTCGTTGCATATTCAGTCTGTTATCATATTCATTCATTGTTGAGAAATGTATTTGTAGAATATCTAACCATTATTACAATGATGATAAATTTTGCTTTATAAGTATGAGAATATGTAGAGAATTACTTGAAAGCAGTATTCATATTCTAGACTGATTGTTACCTTAAAATATCATAATATTTTATTGACTAAGAAAAAGTTACTTCTTTTTGCTAAAATTTTACTTTTTACTTCTGACCAAATTAAAGTTAGACGGTATCAGTATTATCACACCCACGTAAAAAAGCAAATAAAAGCGAAGAATAAAAGAAACGTTCTATGACCTACAAATTTGTGATAAACATTTCTGGTATTTCCAATTATAATCAAGAGAAATTAAAATACATCTTAAGTAGGTTGGTTTAGTCTGACCTTTAATTATACTGGAATGTTAATTATCATGACTGTCAGTTTCGTTTTTTTGTTCACAATTAATTTCTCCTTGCCAATCAGTATTTAGTCAATAAATTTTACGTCTACAATGAGCACTTTTAGAACACATTACTACTTTACAATTCTTTCAGTAGTGTGGATCACAGGAAAATGAGGAATCTCGTAAGATGAAATTTTAAGGTGTTGTTTGGAAGGGAACTTGATTCATTTCAAGTTAGGCCACGGACTAATATCACTCAGAGAATTATTAACAGCTAGGAAACAGAGAACGGCTGTTTCGTCGTAGATGGGATACTTTGTAAGGATGCACCCATAGGCCCACTGGGAATCAGATCCAGAAATTCCAGGTTACGAGTTGGGCCTATGGACCATTCGGCTACTGATTTGAAATTCCAAAGCCTATGGATTCTAACTTCTTCTTCTCTGCAGTATAGTTCACCCCACTGTCAGAAATGTTATCGGAGAATATCTTTTCTCACATCTAGCCTGGTAGACCACACTGGCTGCGATTCGATAGAAGTTCGATTTCATGAGCCATCAAATTCCATTCCAGTGACTTGAAGGTGAATGAGCTGATGTCAAACAGATGTCCCATACCCTTTGCTTTTCAGTGATTCACTAACTGATATTATTCTGTAATCTGACTTCAGAATGAAACCTGAATCAGTAAAACTAAATAAAGATGTTGTTATTCCTTCACTCTGTTAGTGCATTCGCAAATGGATCATGAAATGCACTCCTACCAATAACTAGGTATATAACCCAGATTTCAGTACTTACAGTATTGAGGGTCTCTGTACAAAAATTACATAAACTGGAAGAAATTCTAACTATCTGGTCTCAATGTGTTTAACAAAAGTACAGGAATTGGGGAAAAAAAGTTTTGCTAAGAAACCCTCTTTTACTTTCACCCTGATTAGTTCTTATGAAATTTGATTAATTGCAACTTAGAATTACGTCACCAGCTGGAATCACCTACAGAACCAATATTTCGCCCAAATTTGTAACTCATCGTGAATAAAAATCAAAGAATATGAAGTAAATTTGCTACTCATCTTCATGCTTCAAAGTGAACACGTTATTGTTCAGCAGTTGCATAACATCACAAATGAACTGAATTCAGAATTCATGTGTCTTCAAAGGCCAGTTAAAAAGGCTAATAGTAGCAAATTCACTGTGAAATATCTCTTTACAACATTTTGTCCATCTCGCAGGAGTCTGTATTGCTCAAGGGTTTGAAACTGTACCAACATAACTGTTCAGAACTTTGATGATATTAGATGGTTGGAGGCAATCGGCCTCGGGAAGCCTTGGACCTAGGTTTAGTGCTGGTTGGCACTCGTCAGCAAGGGCCATCTGCAAACTTGAAGGAAGTCATGTCCCTTCTGAGATTCGAACCAATTAGAATTCGTCGAT